TCACTCGCTCGTGGCTCATCTCCCGCCGCCTTCCCTCCTCGGCATGAGCTTCATTCGTTCTTGTGACTCGTCTTCCCCTCTCGCCCTACATCGCACGCAGGTGGGTGTGGTGATTGTGGATCACGGCTCCCGGAAAAAGGCATCCAACGACATGCTCGTCGAGTTTGGAGATCTGTACGGCAGGGTTACGGGACATGAGATCGTGGAGATTGCGCATATGGAGATCGCAGCACCCACAATCGAGGACGCCGTAGGTGGGTGGTGATGAGGGAGTGTGTGGGGTGAGAATGGGAATAATCACAAAGCCGGCCAAGTCAAGTGGGCCTAACGCGTTGAGGATGGTGCGGGAATGACTGTACGGATGTACGGATGTACGGGTATGATGGGACATTGGGGTTAAAGGGAGGGCGTGTGGAGGGTTGGAAGGGGGGAAGGGTGCAGCTGCCGAGGACTGAGGTGCCGGGGGGGGGGGCGCCTTAGAAACCGGGCTTCACAACATGGTACGACACATGACTATCGTACATTTCAGTTCCTCAATTTTTCCCGCCCGTCTAGGTATCCCCGGGTTATCGCTCTCCCTCCCCTTCCCTTCCACCGCCCCATCCAGCCCCTTCCAAACTCCCGCCAACCCCACATTCCTTGGACGACGTAAGCTCCGAAACCCTGTGTTACCCTCCAGCCGCCTTTTTCCCCATCCCTCCAACCCACCCAGCCTTGTTGCCTATCACGGCTTCATAACGACTTCAGGAAAGTATACCGACCGGCGGATGCAGATCCCGCGCTGTTGTATCCTGGATGGCGTATCGTCCCTTCGTCCTGTGCGTATCCTGTTACAGTGCACCGATAGAACAATTTGTTATATCACGACTTCAGAAAGGTACCGGTGCAGAATCCCAAGGGGATGATACGCCATCCAGGATACAACAACGGGATCTGCATCCGCCGGTCGGTGTACTTTCCTGAAGTCGTTATGAAGTCGTTATACAACACACCCCACCCAACCCGCGATTTGGCCGTCGGCAGTTGAACTTTTGCGTCGTACATTTTTGCGTCGTACATCACCCTAGGGTACATCCCACCCGTTGCCACCCGTTGCTCGTGCAGGCCGGTGCGCGGCACGTGGCGCCCGTACAGTGGTGGTTGCGCCGTACTTCCTGTCGCGTGGTCGCCACATACAAGAGGATATCCCGGCACTTGTACGGCAGGCTCAGGCTCGTTATCCCGGGTTGCGATGCCTGATTGCGGAACCAATTGGTAGGTCGATGTGTCTGTCGGTCGGTGTGTCTGTCTGTCTGCCTGTTAGGGTGGTGAGAGAGCTCTCTGCATATGCGCCGGGGGAAAGTGGGAGGGAAGGCGAGTGGGGAGGGGGGGAGAACTCGTACTGACACGTACTGCACCGGCACTTCACATGCATACAGACAGATAGACAGATAGACACACACACAGACACACACACACACAGACACACACACACAGACACACACACAGACACACACACACACACACACGTCTGCGCAGGAGACCGAGTCGTGGGACTGAAGCTTTTACCCTCTCCCATTCTTTCCTGTCGTTGTTTGCCCCTTTCCCCCCCCCTTACCCCTAAGGACCCTCGTTGTCCCCCTCTTCCCCCTAACACTCTCGTCTACTTTAGAGCGCGTGTTCCCAACCTCCCACGCTCATCAACCTCCTCCACCACCTGCCCGACCTCCCCCTTTAATACTGCTGGCCCCTGGCCCCCAAAAAAGACGCCAAACCCAAATTACCCCCGGAACCCCCGACCTCTCCCCACCGGACTAGACCCCTTTTATTTTCGTCCTCGACCGAATCAAACCAATCCGAACCGAACTAAACCTTCCAGAAGGACAGAAGAAGGGGGAAAGGTAGAAAACTGAACCTCAGAGAAATCACCACGGCGGGTCCTCCCCCACCCCCCATCCCTCCAGGGTAATCCTCTGCCCGCCCCGCCCTAACATCCCCCTGGCCCCTCCCCCACGTCCGCATATTCGCCCTATGGCCCCTTCGATCCGCCATCCTTGGCCCTCCCCACTCCCCTCCAGAACCACACACACACGCACGCGCGCGCGCGCACACACATAAACATGCGCGCACGTACCCATACACATACGCACACATACAGACACACGCACATGCTGCATAATACCCCACACATCCCTGTGCAGGTATCGATGTGTTGATGGTGCAACTGATTAACAACAGAGTGGCGGCGGCTTTGGGCTCCCTGGAGCAACAGCAGATGGGGGTGGGGGAGGAGGGGGCCGGGGAGGGAGTGACGGTAGCAGCAGCAGCAGCAGCAGGAACAGCTACCGAGGCGTGCTGAACGCGTGTACGTGTGTTAAGCGTACACACGTATGTATGTTTATATGTATTGATAGTCTGAGCCGTGGGCAGTAGCTTTGTGTGTTCCCATAGGAAGAGTTATCGGACGTGGTGCGGGGGAGGATGATGATGATGATGTGCGGGTAGTGTGCCCGGTGGCGCCATGTGCGCTTCGGGTTCGATATATTTGCAGATGTGTGTGTTTGTGTGTTTGTGTGTATGTGTATTTGTATGTGTGTGTATGTGTATGTGTATGTGGTTGGGTGAGTGGGTGAAAGAGCGGCTTGTTTGGTTAGTAGAGAAGCGGAGGCGGCCGCAGCAGTGTCGGGTTGGCGAGGAGGCGGGAGAAGGGACTGGGAGGCTGCTGGGGTAGCTAGGGGCGCTCTGCTGTTTGTTTCTTCCCCATATGCGGAGGGGAAGAGGTTGACGAAGGAATCAGAAGGAGGCGGGGGAAGATGGGGTTTGGCACTTGGTGGGGTGGTGTTGGCAATTCCAGGAGAATGCACATTGACAGCTATAAATGGAGACTGAACGTCAGGTGTCATGTGGTTTGTCGCAGCAGTTTATGATGAGTGCGCGGAACGTGGTGACATGTCCCTGGTGTTTAGCCACAGGCTCCCGGCATTCGGGTCTTCCGAAGGATTGGCGCGAATATGTACGACCGCGCCTCGAAGGAGACTCCATGTTCAGGGACTTCTATAATCCAAAATATTCCAAAACCGTTAAAAGATAATGTTATAACCGTCGAAGCTGCATAGTTTGCGAACTTTACAGTGGACCCCGAACGGGTCGAGTGCAGCGCCCCCTAGGAACACCTCCCGCGCAACACTGTGGGCCTTATTCAGATAGAACTCGACCAGGCCGTAATAACTTCACTGTGGACACAAGGCCTCGGGTAGTACGCTTAAAACATAAAAAAAGGGACGGCAGAGGGTAGGTCTCGGGACCAGAGGTCGGCAAATCGGTTTCTACGGCTGCGGGAGGGCATAACTTCGGTCAGTAAACCTAAAATAATTCTAAGTCAAACACAGGTTTAAGTTCAGCGCGCGGCCCTACGGCCGCAATAGAGGCTGCAAATCACGTCTTTTGGTCAAATTTTGGTCATTAGGGAGCCGCAGCCGGGGGCTTGAGCCGAATTACGGCTGCGGGTACTGTGGTACGGACCCGCAGTACCCGCCTTATTTGCCGACCTCTGCTCGGGACCCCTTGTCATTAATCGTGACGTACGTGATAAACAAGTTGGTCCCGCATGGTTTATTGACAGGAATGGGTGGCTGACCAGGGTGTTGACGGGCACCTGTTGCTGCGTTTTTTCTGAGGGCCTTCGGGCTGCCACAGCAGCAGCGAGACGGGTCCAAAGATAATAAGAAATGATCACGCAAGCAATGCGGGCTGATTTAGGCAATGCCGTATTACTGCCATCAAGGCCCTCCTGGTGCAATGTACGACGACCACGGTTTGAGGGAACTGACAGCCGCAAGGCATGCCATCTCCCATATACACCTATGGCTAGCGGGCCGCGGATTGCCCAGCCAGAAATGATACGGGGAATTGGGGGGGAGGGGGAAGTGCAAGGAAGTTCGAGTTTGGAAATTCGAGCCTGTACAAAAACCTGTTGCTTGTTTCAAGGTGTGCTTTTTCGTCTTAGGTTTCCAGTGCAGCGAGCGGTGCGTTGTGGACCGATGGCTCTGCCCTAAGGGGGGATTCGCTTGGGGTCAGGTGCTCGTTGTAATACCTACTATTACTACTACGACTACTACTTGTATGGAACGTCACCTCAGACGTCCGTATTGAAGGAATGTGTATTGGTTATGCATCCTGGAGCCTCGGATTATGGGCCAACTGACAGGTTACCAGCAGATCCTTCCATGACAGACTCTGACTCGATCCGACAAAGCGAATTCATGTGTGCTTAGGCAGGAGCAGGAAGTATTTTGTTCCGGATTAAAGGGATAGTCGCAAGTACATGCTTTGTGTTCACGATTTCGTGGGGTCGCAGTATATCGCCGCCTTAACCAATCCTACAGCCTCTGCCCATGCCCACACTAAAAATTTCCTACAATCCATAAGAAACCACAATAGCATACGGATAAGAATCATTGCGACTGACCAGAGTATAGGATGTTTTTGGTGTCGGTCGGAGAATTCACTAGCGTTTCGTCGAGCGTTTCGTAGTACGAACAGGGCCCTACAATTTCTTTATCCAGATTCGCAGACCAGCTATAAAGTGTCTTTTGCACAACCTGAAAAGTTATCTTTGCAATTTGCTTAACTTTGAAGTCGTCAAGCTCTTCACATCGAGGTGCCGTTGTTCTGTTAAGGTGAGTTCTTTGTGCCCCCGCTTTTGTATTCTAATTAATTTTACGCTGTATCTGTAGCAATTCTTTTAGGATTAGACAGTGATTGATGTGAGAGGCTGGATGCAGTGTGGTGTCGTCCTAACGCTCACAAGATCCCACATCGGAAGACATTGTTCTAAACCAGGCCATGCCGTCACGGAACGCCAGGGGTGCTCCCCAATGTGAGCCAGTCATGCCGGCCAGCGTGTCTCGGGAGAGCTCGCTGCGGCGCCTCTGCTTGCTCTTACAATAAGCAGATGGCGATTGCGGCGGCTCGACCGGGCACGCTGCGCTTCTGCTGCTGCTGCATTGCGGGTTGCTGAGATGATACCCTCATGACCGGATCGGGATAGTGCCCGCGACGGGAGTGTGTTTCCGGGTGTGCGTGCATGGGCGTGCGTTATGTCGCACGTCCTGCTGCCGCTCCTTTGCTCCCTTTTGCCCTTGCCCCTTCCTAATCTTCTAATCCTACTTGCTTCGTGGATGGATGCGTTGATGGCACAACAATGGCTGGCGTCTGGTGGTCGGAACTCGGTGAGGGCAATACTGGCAGCGCTTTTGACCTTTTCCTTGATTGGCGCTTCAAAGAATTATTTGTTGAGGACAATTTACCGTTTCGTCACTTGGATGCTGTAACACTTGCAGCGGGCAACTTTGGATTTTGCATAGAAGCACCTCTCCTCGCATTCCGACACTTGAACCGGAATTCAAAAACATGCCGTCCTCTACTCTTGGTTGTTTACTCATGCGCTTCGGTCCGAATTATGCTTGTCCGCGCGCGCCCTATCCCTCTCTGCCCCTTGCTCTGCGGGTGCTGCGCTGCTCCTCTTCCCCTTGTCTATTGTGCGCCTGCTTCCCTCTGCTCGCAGATGTCCCAATGAACCCTACCACAGGTCCCAATTTGTCAACATGGCCGCCATGATCTCCCAGCGCCGCGCTGCTGCCAGCGTTGCCTCCTCCGCCCCAAAGCGCGGCTCCCGTGTGGTCACCCGTGTGGCCCAGCCGCTGGCCCAGCCCGGCAGCCAGTCGGCTGCCGCCGATGCGTCCATGCTGGCTCGTGCCGGTCTGCCGCCCACGACCACTCCCTACGACAACTACGTGTTCGCTTCTATCAGGGAGGCTGAGGTGAGTTAGATGGCGAGCAAAGGGGTTGCTGTGTTCTATGAGGACAATCCTAGGAAAATCATTAGGACATCCTTTAAAGATTAAGTTATCGCACCTATCCGTTCAGCGTAATTCCAAGATTTACCCTATGCCTGCTCCGTATTAACGCAGTATAATGTCTTTCTGTGCAGGTCAACCGCGCCATGACCCGGCGCTACTTCAAGGACATGGACGAGTTCGCTGAGAGCGACGTGGTGATTGTGGGCGCGGGCTCCGCAGGCCTGGCGTGTGCCTACGAGCTGGGCAAGGTGGCGCCGCACCTCAAGGTGAACCACCTTGAGACAAACAACTGATACATTTCTACTAGGACCGGCATAAGAGCGATGGCTGGCTGTGCCGAGATTCAATTGAAGGCAGTGGCTTTAATCGAGTTTCTCAATCCTTAGTCCGGCCGAAGGCTAGCCTTGAAAATCATCGACCTGTGCTCATGCAGCTGCGAACATTCGTCTTCTGTTGTTTGTGAACATCTTATCCTCTAGCCGACTTGTCCTTCACCACCACCCACATCCCCTTCAGGTTGCTCTTCTCGAGCAGAGTGTGGCTCCCGGTGGCGGCGCCTGGCTCGGTGGCCAGCTGTTCAGCGCCATGGTGGTACGGAAGCCCGCCCACCTGATGCTGGACGAGCTGGAGGTGCCGTACGAGGACGAGGGTCACTACGTCGTCGTTCGCCACGCGGCCCTGCTGACGTCCACCCTCATGAGCCACGTGCTCAAGAACCCAAACGTGAAGCTCTTCAACGCCACCGCCGTGGAGGACCTCATCGTGAAGCCCGACCCCCAGCTGGGAGGTGCTCGCCGTGTGGCGGGAGTGGTGACCAACTGGTCGCTGGTGGCGCAGGCGCACGGCACCCAGTCGTGCATGGACCCCAACGTCATCGAGGCGGGCGTGGTGGTGTCGGCGTGCGGCCACGACGGGCCCTTCGGGGCAACCAGTAAGTGCCCTTCTGTGCGTCTGGGTGATGTACTTCCTACCTATCATCGTACTCCTGCGTTCTCTTGTCTCGCGCAGTGTCATAAAATGTAATTGTCATGTGTTCCTGAATTTAGCGTTGCCTGAAGATTTTATGTCTGCCTTACCCCTGTTTGCGCTCGACTCTTAGGCGTGAAGCGTCTTGCCCGCCTGGGCATGGTTCCCGGCGGCGAGGTCCCCGGCATGGGCGCCCTGGACATGGAGGCGGCTGAGGGCGCCATCGTGGGCGGCACTCGCGAGGTGGTACCGGGTATGGTGCTGGCGGGCATGGAGCTGGCGGAGGTGGACGGGTCGCCACGCATGGGACCCACGTTCGGCGCCATGATCGTGTCGGGACGTCGTGCTGCCCACGTGGCTCTTGCGGTGCTGGAGAAGCGCCGCAAAGTGGCGGCTGGTGCTGCTGCGGGCAAGGAGATGGCTGCCTCGGCTTGAACTAAGTCTCGGAAGTGTAGTGCTGGTCGTTTACGCTCTTCCTGTATTTCAGCAGGAGCATTGGAAAAGGATACAGGAGCTGTATGTTACTTATTGCATGCATGTATCGGATGTTTCGCTCCGGTGTTATTGTTGGATTTAGCAGAGTGGGATGTGAATCTTCTGCGCGTGCCTAAGAAATCTCGAACCCGTTGCATTCGTCGGTCCTGCTCGGAAGTATGTATAAGTTCAGTTTCGAGGTTGCTACGGTACAAACAGAATGGTTTTGGCTTGTAACGAATGAGAGGGCTGCGTTCGTCACGATACCGAAGACTGTAAATTTGTAGCTTAGATGCGGCAGGAGCAAAGCGAGTATAGCCTCTAAGCTAGGTTATGTACGGCAGCCGTATGGCTTGCTGAGAATTCGAATTTACTATTTCAGCTGACAGCTCCATAGTTCCGGCATTCTGCCTACACTATTGGAGCTTATTATTATTGTTGCTCTCACTTTTATCCAAGACCTTACCGACTACCCTCAAGCCTCATCGACGCTCTACCACAACGAATCGACATCGCCGCGGACCTGTCACTCTCCGAGGAACAACCAGGAGCTCCGTCAAAAAAAAAAAAATCAAAAAATGACGGGTAAGAGGACAAAGGCAACGGGAGATAACCTGGTCAACGCAGGAGCGGCCGAAGCAGCCGGCGAAGGGGGATCGGGCCAGATGCTGCCAGCCAACCAAAAACGACATAGAAGCCGCCAGGGATACTTTGAGCGGGAACATAGACCAGCCGACTCTTCACCAGCTGCTGCTGGGCGTCCTGTCAGCAGCGCAGGCCAACGCGCCAAAAGCGCCAGCCAGGGATCCCCGGACAGCACCGCCTCGGGATCGCTCTCCTGACGTTGTCATCACAAAAGACGTGACCATCATGCCATCCGCAAGAGAACAGCTAGCAGCAATAAGGACGGAAGTTCAAGCAAATGACGCACCGAAGCTGACAGCACCACACGAGCAGCGGGAGCAGCTCGACGAAGGAACGCTAATGCTGCTAGAGACCGCCATCACCGCGCTGGATGCGAACGAACCCCAGCTGGCCGTCGCGGGAGAATGCCTCAAGATCGCTCACCGCCGCCTTAAGTGCTACTCCGTTGCTCTGGCCAAGGCGGGCCCAGGAGCCAACGGTAATTTCACGGCCCCCTACGAAATCTGGCACGGCAGGCGGCGCAACTTCACCAAGCCCGAGTTCAAACCAGAGGCCATAGATAAGGGCGACATAGAGAGTGCATTAGCTAAAACGCGCAAGTCGGTGGCGGCGGACAGGGACGGTCA